ACAACCCACCCCGGGTACCCTTGCAACCGCATAGCAAAACCCTAGCAACCACCCCAGTACCTTAGCAACTGCATAACAACACCTTAGCAACCGCCCCTGGTACCATAGCAACCGCATAGCAACACCTTAGCAACCGCAAAGCAACACTCTAGCAACCCCATAGCAACCTTCCCGGGTAACCTGGCAACCGCATAGCAACACCATAGAACCCACCCCGGGGTACCCTAGCAACCGCATAGGAGCACCCTAGTAACCACCCCGAGTACCTTAGCAACCGCATAGCAACACTTTAGCAACCGCCCCGAGTGCCTTAGCAACCGCATAGCAACACTTTAGCAACCGCCCCGGGAACCCTAGAAACCGCATAGCATCGCCCAAAAACCGCAAAGCAACCCCTTAGCAACCTTCCCGGGTAACCTAGCAACCGCATAGCAAAATCTTAGCAACCACCCCGGGTTCCCTAGCAACCGCATAGCAACAGCCTAGCAACCGCATAGCAACATCTTAGCAACCACCCTAAGTACCCTAGCAACCACCCCGGGAACCATAGCAACCGCATAGCAGCACCAACCACCCCGGGTACCCTTGCAACCGCATAACAAAATCTTAGCAACCACCCCAGTACCCCAGTACCCCAGTACCCTAGCAACCGCATAGCAACACCTTAGCAACCACCCTGGGTACCCTAGCAAATGCATAGCAACACAATAGCTACCCCCCCGAGTACGCTAGCAACCGCATAGCAACTCCTTAGCTACCGCCCCGGGTACCTTAGCAACCACATAGCAACACCCTAGCAGCCACCCCGGGTACCCTAGCAACCTCATAGCAGCACCGTTGGAACCACCCCGGGTACCCTTGCAACCACATAACAAAACCCTAGCAACCACCCCAGTACCTTGGCAACCGCATAGCAACACCCTAGCAGCCACACCAGGTACCTTAGCAAAAGCATAGCAACACCTTAGGAACCGCCCCGGGTAACCTAGCAACCGCATAGCAACACCCTAGCAGCCATAGCAACCGCATAGCAACACTGTTGCAACCACTCCGGGTACCCTTACAACCGCATAACAAAACCCTAGCAACCACCCCAGTACCTTGGCAACCGCATAGCAACACCCTAGCAGCCACACCAGGTACCTTAGCAAAAGCATAGCAACACCTTAGGAACCGCCCCGGGTAACCTAGCAACCGCATAGCAACACCCTAGCAACCATAGCAACCGCATAGCAACACAGTAGCAACCACCCCGAGTACCTTAGCAACCGCATAGCAACCGCAAAGCAACCCCTTAGCAACCTTCCCGGGTAACCTAGCAACCGCATAGCAAAATCTTAGCAACCACCCCGGGTTCCCTAGCAACCGCATAGCAACAGCCTAGCAACCGCATAGCAACATCTTAGCAACCACCCTAGGTTCCCTAGCAACTGCATAGCAACACCCTAGCAACTGCATAGCAACACCTTAGCAACCAACCTGGTTACCCCACCTTAGCAACCACCCTGGGTACCCTAGCAAATGCATAGCAACACAGTAGCTACCACCCGAGTACCCTAGCAACCGCATAGCAACTCCTTAGCTACCGCCCCGGGTACCTTAGCAACCTCATAGCAAAACCGTTGCAACCATCCCGGGTACCCTTGCAACCGCATAACAAAACCCTCAAGTACCCTAGCAACTGCATAGCAACAACCTAGCAACCAACCCGAGTACCTTAGCAACCGCATAGCAACACCCTAGCAGCCACACCAGGTACCTTAGCAAAAGCATAGCAACACCTTAGGAACCGCCCCGGGTAACCTAGCAACCGCATAGCAACACCCTAGCAACCATAGCAACCGCATAGCAACACACCCCGGGTACCCTTGCAACCTCATAACAAAACTCTAGCATCCACCCCAGTACCCTAGCAACCGCATAGCAACACCTTAGCAACCACCCCGGGTACACTAGCAACTACATAGCAACACCCAAGCAACCATAGCAACCGTATTGCAACACCTTAGCAACCACCTCAAGTACCCTAGCAACTGCATAGCAGCAACCACCCCAGTACCTTGGCAACCGCATAGCAACACCCTAGCAGCCACACCAGGTACCTTAGCAAAAGCATAGCAACACCTTAGGAACCGCCCCGGGTAACCTAGCAACCGCATAGCAACACCCTAGCAACCATAGCAACCGCATAGCAACACACCCCGGGTACCCTTGCAACCTCATAACAAAACTCTAGCAACCACCCCAGTACCCTAGCAACCGCATAGCAACACCTTAGCAACCACCCCGGGTACACTAGCAACTGCATAGCAACACCCAAGCAACCATAGCAACCGTTTTGCAACACCTTAGCAACACCCCGGGTACCCTAGCAACCGTGTAGCAACTCCGTAGCAACCATCCCGGGTACCCCTTCAACCGCATAGCAACCGCCCCAGGTACCCTAGCAACCGCGTAGCAACACCGTAGCAACCACCCCGGGTACCCTTGCAACTGCAGAGCAAAACCCTAGCAACCACCCCAGTACCTTAGCAACCACATAGCTACACCTTAGTAACCGCCCCGGGTACCCTAGCAACCACATAGCAACACCCTAGCAACGATAGCAACCGCCCCAGGTACCCTAGCAACCGCGTAGCAACACCGTAGCAACCACCCCGGGTACCCTTGCAACTGCAGAGCAAAACCCTAGCAACCACCCCAGTACCTTAGCAACCACATAGCTACACCTTAGTAACCGCCCCGGGTACCCTAGCAACCACATAGCAACACCCTAGCAACCACCCCGGGTACCCTAGCAACCACATAGCAACACCTTAGCAACTGCCCCGGGTACCCTAGCAACCGCATAGCAACACAGTAGCACTACTTCTAGTAACCGTTAGCATTTGGTCTCGTACGTTTATTTCTCCTCTTTCCTACTACTTGTTTCACTTATGTTTCAGTTTTTTTATAACCATTTCTTACTATGTGTCAGTAAGTTGTTGTTATTTTAGGATTTGTTTTGGATTATCTCTTGCCTTGCACATTTAGCCAGGTGTGTTTGGCTCAGTGTTATTTTTTTAGGATTACTGATAAACTAATGTAGTTTGATTTGTATTAGTTATCTATT